GCCACTCATTCTCCATGTTACTTGTTTATGTATAAGCATGATAGTATGTTAACAATGCATTCACGTTTGCTTTTTTTGTGAAAAATTCCCAGCATTATCCCAGTATCAAATATGGGGATTAATATAATAAAAAAGTTGTTCTGAAATAAAGAAGTAGAAGAGTCAGCAAACAGCTGAAGACACAGGAAAGAACTGCACGAGTCTCTGATATAAATCACACTATAGACATAGATAAAAATGACTGTTTAAAATCTATACAATGAAAACAGTTTAATCTCACACCCTCAGAAGCAACATACTTACAAGACATTAATTTATGAACAACTCATGGAAATGCTTAGTTAATTCTAGCTGACATGACCCATCTTAGGTTTTTTTAAAAAATTCCTCATAGTAGTTTCAAATAGTATTTCTTATTATTTATGACATGATTAAAGTACCTTCTGGAGGGAGAGAATTTCAGTCAGTTTACACAGATACAAATTCAAATGTTGATTTTAGCCCAAGCAAAAATACTATAAATGAGGGTTTCTATTTCCAGCAAACTTCTCTGAACCTCTCCAACCACCATATCATTAATCATCATCAGTCTCCCTAGCAACACTCAGTACTACAAGGGTTGGTGTGTTGTATAGTAAATCAGGTTTAAGGGATGCTGGTATAACTGCATGGAAAAGATTGCACAGTATGTTTGCTTTACAGCTCAGACTTAGGCTGAGAATTTTATGCCCACTTTCACAACCAATTCAATTTATTAAATATTCTCAAAGAAAAAGAAAGTAAGTGAGGGGGTTCTGATAATGTGATTAAAAAATTTCCAAGAACCTCATATAGGTAACATTATTGCAAAAAGGAGTAATCAAAGAAGAAATCAGTCTTATAAAAATGCTGCTTATTCTTTTCAATATATGATGTTGAATAATTTCATAAATTATTTTCTAAGATAATTTAATAAGTTTTACCAGCTAAATGTTTACTTCAGCTTTCTAATCATGCACAGGCTGCAAAAATTAAAACTCTAAGTAAAAGACTGTAAATAGATATAAAGAAACAGCTATTAGAGAGTATATTTTTTCCCTGTAGATCTTGCTGGAAAGAATTTGAAGCCTTATTAATACTTTCTTCTTATTCTTTATTTTTCATTGCCAATGATCTTAACAAATTCGCTTAATAGCTCACACAGTTGATACAACAGGTGCAGTAACAGGCAAAAGTCATATATTAGTTGTTCTAAGATGAAGTTGGTAAACTTTATTCTTAAAAATTCTTGTACAGTGATTCCCATCTGAAGGTCACAAAACAGTTTACGGAGGTGGTGAGTACCCTTTCTTACATTATAGAGGTATGAAAACTGAGGAACATATAGGAAAACTGATCTAACTCATAATCACCCAACCGACTTGTAACAGAACTGGAAACAAAAGGTGTTTTCCTAGCATTCTTTCTGTTTGGACAGAAATTAAACAAAGGAGAGTCCTCCTGGAAACTTATTTAATTTTTATCTGGAAAAGTCACCCTGAGAAATAGCTTGAGTAGAAAATAGATAAAAAGACCTACCTCATAGTATACAAGAGAGTCCCATCATCTTGGATTCGTAGAAGCTTGTTTGGCATTGTCATGTTATGAGCCACTGATTTCTTCCCATTGTGAAAAAATGTATCTGGGGTCCAGATTTTGCTGGCCATTAAGTTGTTCAATCGAAGAATGTTCATTGGGCCCTTAAACTTTAATCTCTCATCCTTCCACCTTTGACGGAAGAAAACATCTATTGTGTATTCCTGTAATGGAAGAAAGATATGCTTTTTTTGACACAATGAAAAATTAATCTGCTTTTTGAGAGCCAAAACAGAAAAGTTCTGGATGCAAAATTTCCCTTGGTAAAATTGTCAAGGGAGAACAACCATCACACAAAATTGTATAATACTGAGAACAATAATCAGGAAGTCAGTTTATTAAGGGTATGACATTCTCCTTTGTGGTTCCTAGCTCTTGTTTGTACATCAAACTCTTCCAATATTTAGATTTCTGTACCTGATACACATAGTATATATGTAAGGGTAATTTCAATAAACACAGCTATTTATACATTAAGAAGGAAGAAAAAAAAATACACAGAAAGATATTAAATAGTTCCTACAGCAAATGCACCTGAAAGAGCATTTCAAGAGCATGGAGAATGGCTGAGACTGGAAAGAAAGAAACAAAGCTACCCATAAAGGGCACAATGTATCCAGGCAGACTGACAGAGGAAGATTTTTCCAAAGTAGAAAGTAAGGCTCTGTAGTGGTATGGATTTTAGTAACAAAAGTACACAGGTAGGGAACAACAGCTGATGATTAACAGGTGACACACACTGTCTGCTGAACTTTACTCTGATGCCTAATCTTGGGAAGGAAGTACAGTCTGGAGAAAAGGATGTAAGTGAAACCAGACTGATGACCGGGACCAGATGCCAGTGTGACCCAGCACTGGGTATCCCATCTGCTGGGTTTTGTTGCTGTTCTAAACAAACAAACAAAAAAAGACAGTGATTAAACACTGATAATGCAAATTCATGAACTAACTTCAAATTGGATCTGTAAATGGATTTAGTGTTTTTCTACTGTCAGCACAGCACATAAACTGGAAAGAGAAGAGCTTAAAAAGTTTGTTGGAAGCAAACCGTATTCTATGTATCGGCAAATGCTACCTTGGTGCCATTTCAGCTCTGTTGGACAGGTGCAAAATGGACCCATGATTTCAAAATATTATTATGTTACAACAGTCTGTACTATTGCAACTACTCTGGAAATGCTACAGTTTACATAAACCATTTTCAAATAAATTATCTTTGAATGGACAAGTCCTGATAAAATTCAACCAATATAAAATATTCAAGTGATTTCAATATGAAAGTGATGTCAAGGAACTTATCAGCCCCCACCACTTTCTGCTTGCTCCCTTGTGTGCTGATTAACACAGCTTAAGTCTTTTCTCAGTCAATCATACGGTGGTACAAAGGGAGTGCTAAGTAGACAGGGAGAAGCAACAGCCCCTCTCAGTTCCTTTGGTCTGTGAGCCCAGGAGCTGCGAGGACCTTATCCAGGTCAGGGCCAGAACCTAAGATAAGCATGTGAAAATAAGGAGAGAATTCTGTTAGCTGGAGGAGTATGGCAGGGGCAGGAGAGAAAGCAGTTGTCATTAGAAACTGTGACAGGTGCTTGGGGAGATGTTTTTGGAATGATGTAATGGGATACTTATAAACTAACCTGCCAAAATCTTCAAGTCCAATTTTTAGCTCTATCAAGTGGTCTTACAGTACTACAATACAATTTTGTCATTTTTCCAATTAAATTATAGTTACTCAAATATTAAATAAAAGTAACCAAACAGTACTCTGAAAATTAATTTGCTTGGGCTTCTTTAATATCAGTTGTAACATCTCTAGTAATATTTTAGTAAACATATCTGTGACATAGAACATTATTCACTTCTAAAATACATATTTCCTTGACATTGTATCTGATCTCTTACTGTCTCTCATTACTGTCAGAGACACTGACTCATGACAAGTAATTTGCCTGTTTCTCTATGATAGATCACATACAATTGTCCTGTTTTATTTGCTGATGAATATGTAATTTTATTTGCTAAATATTGTGTGACTTAAAATCCCATTTATGAATTCCAAGTTATCTATCAGTTCAGTTGTAGATCAGGGAAAGTCAGAAAATGTATGAAATCATGGAGGATCAGGAGCAGCAGGAACAGCGTGCTTGAAGTAGGGGGAATATATGAAATCTGTCTAGAAATACTGGGTAATTCAAGGAAAACAATTGCCTAAAAGCCTCCTTGTGGTTTCCATCTGAGGGGCTTTGCCAACAATTCATCACTATGTATGCAAAGATTGATGTTTGAGGTATAAAAAAGTGGAAAGAAGAGCCTGAGAGAGCGAGACTGAAATCCCACTGAAATTCAACAGAAGTGAATGAGAAGTTCAACAAGTTCCTTTGACAAATATCCTCTACACATAAAAGACTAGAATATAAATCTTAAGTTTGTATAATAAAGAATTTCAAAGATCCCACTTCTTCACTGTCTTCCAACATATAAAAAAAGAATTACAGGAGATATAAAAGAGAAAAAAAGCAGACAAGAAATGTCACTAAATCAAAACAGCAACATTTCAAAAAAACACATCTGATGCATGGCAACTGCTTAGGAAGTGGAATAAGCAGGAAAGAATCTGAGCTGTAGCCTTGAAAGATCCCACTGACAAATTTCTGACTGATCCATAGGTAATTCTATCTCTCTATTGTAATTTTTCCATCCAATCCATGATGGAAATCTTTATTTGTAGAACATCCCATTAGGAAGATGGAAACAGGGAATAAACCAAGGTTTGGTGTGAATGACCATGAACACCTTCTTCTATTCACCACAATAACAATAAAATCTCACATAGTTCTTAAATAAGTTATCTTTCTATAGACCTCAATGCATTTTTCAAATGAAATATTGGGTTCTCAATTTTATATGAAGGGAAAGCAAAAGCACTGAGATGAAATTTACTTGTTCAGTCCATTTACAGAGTGATTATGAAAAGCAAAATAAAATGCATGCCTCTTGCATCCCAGTACTATATTTTCTGATGTCATGTTCCCTCCTGAACCAAGTTTCTTCTACTGATGTTTACAAATACCCCTATGATGAATACCATACAAAGAAAATGAGAAAAGAGGAAACTATTAATGTATTAATGTAAAAGGTAAGTTTTTATCAAAAGAATCTACATAAAGATTTTGTAACTATTTCCTGTTCCATATATGTACCACTTTGTAGTAAACGCTGTGTATGTTTACTTTTCAAGCAAGACTAACATTCAGTTAGAAATGCAAATCTGGACTCTAGAAAAAAAGACTTAAATTAATACCTGATACTCATTTAATACTATCTGCAGATTCTCTTATATGAAAAAACCTGTGCAGTCTCTAGACATTACCAAACGCTCTCCAGTGTATAGTGCAGTATCTCCATAAAATCACAGAGTATACTTCCAGGACTACAAAGGACTCCTGTGATCATTTCTGGACAAGCAAATGCTTTCTACTGATTTGTGTCTGAAAAGGGGCTTTCACAGATGGACTCTAACACAGTACAATTAGACATAGTCTTTCAAATATGGATTCTAACAGTTTACAAAAACTTTTAGGGACAGATGAGAGATTGTTACTACAGTGTTAAGAAGCATTGAGCCTCTGCCAGTTCAATGGTCAGAAGAGTAAAATGGTGAAGAAATTTCATTCCTCTTTTAATATGCAGTTGTTGTGCATAACAGTATGCACAGGGAAAAAATATATTATTATTATTATTATTAATAATAATAATAATGAAAGTCTAACAATATCAATACTAAAAGTGCTCAGGATGCAATTCTCTTCTTCCCCAAAACCCCTCAGTGCTCCAGTCACTGACACTGACTACTCAGGCTCAGCAAAAGTACTTCACTTGCTGTGTATCTATCAGCAAGTGCACAGATGTATAAACCCCTCAGTGCACAGATGTATAAACTGACTCCACTTGTTCTTTTCCAAAACTTACCTTCTGGTATGTACAAAACACACCAGCACACAGAAGGAAATAGTAGACAGCCAAATATTCCCTTCAGGTCTTTGGGTGGCATGGATCTTCTACATTGCTGAATAGAATTCTTGAAAATGTTCCCAATAAACACCCTTATGGAAGAGGGTTGTGGTTTGAAACTGCACTGTTGGTTATTTTGTATCTAAATCCTTCACAGTCCTGTTACAAACTTCAAACACTGTCCCATCACTGCATTTCAAAGGAATGTGTATTCATTTCTAAATACATAAGTAATATCTTCTAGATATAGATGACTTTTAATATCATAAAGAAAATGTGGTATATTTCTAGGGATTTGTAGCATGATTTTCCTCTATTTGAAGAATTCATTTCAACTGCCAACTTCAGTCATTTTTGTCTAAGCATTTAATCTAAACATGAAGTATTTAAAAAAAATCTGGAAAAAATGTGTTTAAATTTGAATTATATTGTCTAGGGAGGAGAATGTCTTCCTATTCACATCCATTTATGAAAAGGACCTTCTCTGAATGCTTTCGTCTCCCTTTCCTTCCATAGACCTGATGCAGAAGGAACTCTGATTCTAAAATAAGCACTGAGGAGGGATAAGAGAGGAAAGTGAAAGATACAAATACGGATTACTTAGAAAAGAGAGTACATGATATTATTCACACTGCTGTTATTGCAAATACAAACATTACTCATCACCATTTTTTATTCAGACATGGAGAAAGAGCAACCCTGAAACACACTGAATGCCTGGTGCCAGGGACAGGAATCCATACAAGGGGTACACTGAGAGCTAATGTCAGTGGAGGGCTTGGACACAGCCTCTGACAAATCAATCTCCAATACTGATCTACTTGGCAGGATGCTGCACAGGGCAATAAGCCTTCCCAACAGGATAAAAGGACAGAAGGTATCCTCCTCAAAATTTCAGCCTATGGATTTAACTTGAAGAGACAACGACCTAAGTCTATAATAAAAGGGAATAGAGCAATCAATTTACTGACTTTTCAGAAACATATCAATGATAAAAAGACAATCTAGATGCTCCCCAACTCCCAAGAAAACCAAGTATATTTATCATTTCTGTTTGCCTTTAAGTCTTTAGTCTTCTGCTACTGGGTTAAAATAAGAGCTACGGTAAAGAAGTTGCAGTACTGTTTCTTAATCTTTGTGAAAAAAATAATCTTGGAGCATTCCTTTATTCTGTCCTGACTTACATATTACACTTCCCTTTTAAAGCTTCCCTCCAGTTAAGGAACCATAGCTAATAATTAGACTTTGAAACAGCTAAAAAATAAGTTTCATAGGAAAAGAAAATTCTGAAATACAAAATGGAATTAGGAAATCTGAAAAACAGACTCGGAAAAATAAATGTATCCCCAGTTGTAGTGAGAGATGCTGTAACACTCCTTGCAGATATTTTGGGATTTGACCTTCAGCCTTCATTGAAAATTTCTATTCTGCGCATATTTGAAAAATGAGAAAAGCTTATTGAAAGTTTAATTGGAAATTGACAAGATGGAAGTGTGTGTAGCAATGAACTAGATGATTATGATCATCTCTACAGATAAATGTTCATGTTTCTTGACTACAGAATGAAAAACTAGAAGTATACAAGCAAGAAATTAGGAAAAATTGTTGCGTACAAACAAACAGGAAAAAAACAAAGACATAACCTCAGTAAACAAACCTCCCCAAAGACACTGAAAAGCCAAGGTCGAAAGCTGAAACAAAAAAATTTCATAAAGCTTGTTAGTTTCAATATTCAAGCAAAACTGATTCAGGCCCTGCCACCTACTAACTGTGTGTTGTTGAAAAGCAGGAAAGACTGGTCCCAGTGACAATTAGAAAGACTGCTCTGAGGCAAAACCTGGCAAAAACTTTGCAAAGCTTTCTTCGCAGTAGACCTCAGAAAAAGGCTCTCAGTGGCATTATGTTCTGTCTTACATACAATAACTATTGCTTGAAGAGTAAATGTGGTTTGGTTTTTTGTTTGTTTGTTTATTTGTTTTTTTTCTCTCAAGGACATCAGACAGTTATGGCTAGCTGGGAAATTTTAGAAGCCAAAGAGTCAGGAGAGCCTGGAAGGAAAGAAAGTAAGTCTGAGAAAAAGCTGTAAAAGTACTCTGTTTGCACTGCTAAAATGAGATCTATTAGCATACATATATATATAAAGGTATGGTTTAAATTAAATAATTTTTATTTTGTTATCCTACAAACCATATTCCAACCAAAATCATCCTTCATGTCAGAATTTTCAAATATTACAGATTTTTATTTAATTCTAAATGTTTTAATTAGCCTCTTAAATCACAAATTTAGATCACAATTTTCTAACTCTCTTTAGAAAATTCAGAGATGCCTTGTTTTTCAAATGTTCTGTTCAAATTTTGTTTTATCTGTTTTTCAGAACAATGCAGCTTTTCTTCTCTCAGGCCAATGTCAAAATATATTTGTATCACTGATCTAGTTGGAAGCCTATAAGGCATAGCATCATAACACTGAACTTAAACATTTCAGAGAAATAACAGCTAAAAACCAAAGAACAGCGAAAGTAAAATCTGTTTAATCCCATTTTATGGTTTGCCTTCCTTGATTCTCATCAGTTTGTAAAATGAAGTTGAAAATTCCTGTTGTATATTGGCATTTCCTTTGACATTAAATACTGTGGTTGACATACAATAGCATTTTTATAACACAGGTAATATGAGTACACCCATCTTTTAGTCACAGCAGTTCATTTGAAGTGCAGTTTGCAAGAGAGTTCTGGCCAAGAGTAAAAAGATTTGGTAGCTGACTATTCTGGGCAGAACAGAGAGTAGCATCTTTTTAATTTAGTCAAAATGTTAATCCAAAACAAGATAAAAATGTTTTGACTTTTAACACATTTGCAGAAAAATCTCAGCTTCAGCTTTTACCTTCTAAATTTTTAAATTACAACTTCAGCTAGTCTGAAATCAGTGAAAGATCCAAATTCACCTGGATTTAATTATTTTTTGGCAAAATTATGATACTGGAAAAATACAGGGAATATTAATTAAAAACCTACATTCTATAAATTATACTGAGTCATAGATTGCACATGATACTATAATATTGTTAATGGGAACTACTATACTTAGCAAGGAAAACAGAAACCTCACAAATTCCTGTCAATTCAACAATAAAGGTTAGGATGACATTTTATCAGCTTTGTGAATCAACACTGCTGAGCGACAACACTGTCCTTAGCCCCAATCCACCCATCATTTCCAGTGGGCCACCCCAATCCACCCATCATTTCCAGTGGGCCACCTCCCTGTTCCATACTACAAACGCATGTTCATCATCTCCAACAGCAGTGAGTCCCCTTCCCATTTTCAATAGGCTTTTCTCCTAAGCACTGCTCTTCACAAGATGCTAACAAAGGGAAAAAAAACCCAAACAAACTGGCAAATACATAATGCAAAGGGGTGCAGTCATATATCTGCTGACTTTCTTTAGTATGAAAAATCCCAGGGGAAGGAATCCTACTGGCAGCAATGGCTATGAGAATCTTGGGCAACAGCAGTTTCCAGCCTAAAAACCTGATGTAACAGAGCCTCACCAATCACACTGCAAAAGCAGAGGACCTCACGGGCTGGGAACAACTTTCCAAAAAAGGTCTGAGATTCAGTTTGGGATACTCTGGGGATACCTTTGAGGAGGAAGCTTATGAAACAAGAATATTCCAGAGCTTCCACCATTTACAGAAGAAAATATCAATAAATCCTCTATATAGTAGTTAACATCATCAATTCAGTAATCCAATACCTAAATGAAAGAGTACTCATGGTAAAAACTCCAATGTCATCTTCATATTTGACAGAATATGTGAAGTTTGGAAGCTATTATTTCAAAACTCACATGTTGAAATTTTCTAATTGACTGATCATATATTTCAAAATTATTTTATAATTATCAACTGAACAAGCTAAATTAACCCTAAAACTTGTAGTAGTAAGTATTAAACTGCTCTTACTTACCTGTCTTCTTATCTGCAAAGAGATTTACCCATTATAGTAACAGCTGCCATTCAGATGCACTGGACTCTGTTTGGATTAACACCTCCACACAGAGCCATTAGAGGCGTAGCATCAAAGAACCTGACCTCTTACTGTTCCACCACATCTGTCTGTGCAAATGGACACCCAGAGTTCTCCGCACATTTACACATCAATGTCAAAAGCCTTTCAGGAGCTAGGGAATAGGCTTAGGGGGATTTTCATTAAATTCCCATTTAAGCACAGATGACTTGCACCACCCTGGGTAAGTCTTCTTGTGTCTCAGTACCACACCTTTAAAACTGGGTTAATATTATCTCCCCATTTCACAGGAATATTGTAAGTGTAAACACTGTGAAGTCATGAGATACTAGACTAACAGGGTCAAGATGTTCATATCACCTTTGTATATAGCTGCAGATACTTTGTTTTTATAATTAGTAATAAAATAAGAATCATTTCAGAAACTTAATATAACTAACATATACAGTGACAAAAATAAAATAAATGCCTAAATGTCTGATAAATAATAATGAATTTTCAAAACACTTAAAAAAATAATTTCACCCAGGAAATAATTTCTGGCAGGAATGGCAAGGGCAGCTAAAGTAACTTTCAGTAACTTCAGTTCTTCCCTTCTTTCCTTTTAGAGATGTTATATACAAGAAGATCCTTCTCCCAGGTGTGACACATTCTCCCTAATCTGTGTATGATTTGCAGTGAGCCTACAAAGGACCTTTTGCCTCAGAGTTTTTTCCATTGCTGTTTGCATGAAAAAAGTAATCCAGGACAATATTCTGATGGTTTCTTTCTTTTTTATGTCACTGACTTCCTTTAAATGGTTACTAAATAGTGCAAAATATGAAGGACAGATCTGTAGAATAACACGATTGTGCTGATGACCCAACTTCCAAGCTACATCTTTCAATAAGTTTATTTTAGACTGATTCCAGCCAGGATCCTCAGATTGGTGCTAGCATTAAGCATGGTCCTACAGTGCACCTTTCACTCTAGCTTCATTCAAGAGGAATCCAGTTCACACATCTCAACACTGTCCCAGAATATGAACCAAAGTACAGTCACTGGGGACAATCAGAATATTCACTGGTCCAAACTAAACAGCTACAACAAGTATACTTATCATGTAAGGTCTATAAACAAATTTCTTTCTTTAGAAATACTGGGATTTGGCACTTCCCGACTTCAGTGAAATCATTCCGAATTTGTTCACAATAAATAAAAAAAGAACACAAGTTTAAAGGAAATTAATAGTATGTATCTTACACCACTTACTATATATGCAAAAGATTCAGAAACTCACCATATCAGTATCTGAAACAGGTCCAAAACTGGTCACATAGATGTTAGTGAAGACTTCAGTAATACTATCTGATATAAAAAGAAAAAACAAGTAAACATTTTAAATTAATAGTGCTTCTCCAAACTCTCTATGCAAAATTATGGAACATTTTAAACAAGTTTCTGTCCTTACCTACTTCTTCTAACCAGTATCCAGTTGGAAATACTGGGATACTCTACCCCACTTAACAGAGAGGTCATTGGACGAGAGTTTGTCCCACTGAGTAGTTTGTTTCAATTAAAATACTATACAATCATCAGCAACTATACGCATATTTCCTATTTCTCCATCAGTAAAAATAACCACACTGTCTTGGACTTCACACAGTAGTACAGTTCTAAACATTAAAATGCCTTTGTTGCAGAGGTGTTATCTTTGTTGTTGCAGATCATTCCTATTAAAGCCTTTCTAGTTCAAGGCTGTTTTCTTCATCCTGAATGGCTTTTTCAAAGCCAAAGACAAGAAAAAGCTTACAAAGCAATTACTGACTACACCAAATGTAACACTCAACAGCATCCTACTTTTTAATTGGGTAGGTTTTTAAGTGGCACGTATTTCAACATAATCGTTCCTTCCCTTGCTACACGATGCTCCTGATACATTGCTGTAGTACTGTAAATATCGTAAGAAAATGTTCTTCCTAATCATTGCAGTCAGACAGCCATGAAATCAGAATATTAAATATTGTACTGCAGGGAAAAATAATTGCTGAGTTTTCTATCTTCAGTTTTCAATTAGGCTCAAAATGGAATGATATTCACTAAGAGGGATAGCACACACTTGCAGGAAATTTCTTACTGCAGTTGCCAACTACCGTCTGCATTCAAGACAGTCAACACAAGGAATCCTCTGCCTTAAAGCTAGTTTCTGTCTGGAAAAGAAATATTTTAATACAACAGACCGCAATTTGACTCACCCCAGAATTTCCCATTTCTAAAAATAATACAGCTGTCTGTTATATGAGTGATCCTGCTGTTATATTATAATTTTCATATTTAATCATAATTTAATGTGGATAGTTAATAGTTTCTATATTCCTAATAGCTACATTTTGAAAAATATGTGGCATAGGCAGATTTTACTTTTGATATTGAGGCCAACAATTCCTCTATGGTGAGAAATCAGCAGTGCTCACCCATGACAGGAAATGCTCTACCAGCCATCAGACACAGGCAAGACTGATTTGTGAGTAGCTGCATGGGGAGCAGTGTATTTTCAAAGGGATATAGCTGCATCCAGAGCAGAGATGGGGTTACACAGTACTTTCAGAAAACTGCTGGAGCATGGGGGAGGCACATTCCTGCACTCTCATCTTTAAGGAAACTTGAATTTCCTTCTCCAGCTGAACACTATACAGGTGCATATTAGAATACAGGACTTTGTAAAGCCTTTCCAACCCAAAAGAATCTTCTTTACAGGATAATCTCTGCTTTTTAAGCAAATAAATAAAGGCTGACTCTTATTATGTGTCACCCTGAAAGTTCAAAAAGCACACTTCCCCTGCATGTCCTGAGAGATATTTATTTATGTGATAGAGACTTCCATAATTCCACATGCAGCATCCATACACATGCTGATTTCTGCTCCAAACATCTTGCAAACTAATTCAAGTCAGTGGACAACAAGAAGTGCTGAGTCTGCACTGTTCTTACTATTCAACAAGGATAAAGTATGGGTTTGGCTGAAATGTCATACAGAAACCACAGGTACAGTTCAGAAGACTAGTGGCTGCATGTTGCCTGTGGGAGACTCTCCAGAAAAAAAGATTATTCTCTCCAAATGGTTACCTGGCACAGGCTGAAATGAAATGGCAAAGTGACAAGAGAGCTACTCTTTAGGGGGTAAAACAGTGCTGCAAGGACTAGCTGTGAAATTTGGCCTGTACTGTGAAATCTGGCCTGTACTATAATAACAACACAAAATCTTAATTACAGTTCCATGAAAAACACTGGTGTTACAAAGATATGACTGGCAATCAAGTACCCCAACAGAAGAGAACCAAGGCTAATTTCAATTATATTGGTATAATCTGAAGGAACCCTACTATAGGCAACAAAGTCACTTGGCAAATCTTTATCTGCACACACGCATCCCCTCAAAATAGTTGGAACTTGTAACCTCACCCTATTGCTATCAGTTGTTTGCATGTGACCTATTTTTTGCCACATGGGAATGACTTTACAATTTGCAAATAGTAAAGTACAGGATATGCAATCTTGAGGTTTGCCTTGAATTTTAAGTTTTAATTAAAAAAAAAAAGTCCCATATTCTATCATATTATTCCTACATACTTCTAGATCCATCATACCATAAGAAATGAGCAGAAAAGACAGAGTTGAGAACAAACAAATTGACTGCAAACACATTTTTGAATGCTATTACAACAGTCTATAGATTTCCCTCCTTGGTATGTATTATTCACTTCAAAGCACTTCAAATCCTTGGAATAAAGGATCAAGACTTTGGGAGCAGAGGGTGGGTAGATAGGAAGAAGAAGAGGTTTGCTATCCACAGATCCTCAGCTGCAAGATCTTCATTTCAAGTTGTCACAATTAAGATAAGCACTTCAATGTACATAAAAAGTCCTGGGGCAAATTCATCACTGATAGTCTCAGGAATTAATCATGCACCTTTGAGGGTGGTGAGACACTGCATCAGTCTCCCCAAAGAAGTTGTGAATGCCCCTTTTAGGGGCATTTAGGTTTAGATTAGATATTAGGAAGAAGTTCTTCACTGCGAGGGTGGTCAGACACTGGAACAGGTTGCCCAAGGAAGTTGTAGATTCCCCCTCCCTGGAAGTGTTCAAGGCCAGGCAGGATGAGGCTTTGAGCAGCCTGGTCTAGTGGAAGGTGTCGCTGCTCATGGCAGGGGCGTTGGAACTAGATGACCTTTAAGGTCCCTTCCAACCCAAACCATTCTATGATTCTATGACCTTTATTTATTTTTTTGCCAAAACTACCTTGAACCAGCATAGTTCCAGGCAATGATGATAGCAGTGAGTTTCAACACAACCAGTTGCTTTCCCTGATGTGAGGGTTCATCCTGATGGCAGGAATTCTACCAGGCTGCTTCTCCTCAGGCAAGAGCCATGCCAGGGCAGAGAGTGAAGGGAGTAGGTAGAACGTCTTGAAACAGGGTATGAAAGGGACAAGAGAAGCTGAAAAGTTACAGGAGATGAGAAGACTGAGGGAAAGGGAAGGATAAGAAAACAGAATAAAGGAGGACAGGAAAAAAAAAGAAAGAGGAAAGTATACAAAAGAGGAACTAGAAGATTTTTATTTCTGCCTCCCATTTTCTTTCAAAATTCTGCATATTTTGTAAGTTCCTATTCATATCCTATATACAAGGAAACTGGTTCTTAAAGACAAAAGAAGCTGAAATGTCATAAATCTTGAATTATTCCTGTTACCATCTGTTAATTTTAACAGCCCAAGCCTTGTATCTGTTTCTTCTTTGTTACTTTACATAGTGTTACAATAAAGATTCCTTTGAATTACAAATTTGAAGTCAGGGTTTCAGAATCGATGTCTACGAAAATGAAAAATGAATCCTCCTTTTTTACAATAAATATTGTAGTTATTGCTTTGAAAGAATGCATGCTCTTCAAATAGTCTTTATTAAAACATACCACTTTGTCCCACTAGTAACTTACTGAAAACAATCCAGAGGCACAAAGCACAGTTTCAGACAGACTCTCTAATCAGAATTCATCCAGCAGGTACCGCAGTTACAGGCTTTTTATAACTCGCATTCTAGTCATCACACTTAATCCCCTGGAGAGTCAAACAGTTCTGGATCATCAGTGCTTGTGCAAAAGCCAAAGGAACGTACTCAGCTAAAAAATGTTCAATGCAACATGTGTTCATGTACAAATCTAGAGTTTATTTTTTGAGAGAAAATAAGGCCGTTTTTTCCACTAGATTTGTAAAATCTATTTCTTCAATTGACATGAAAACACATAACTAAAATGTCTGATTTTCAAAAGTGCTTGAATCAATGGAGGCCTAGTGCTTTTAAAAAACAATCTAAAGATTGTTTTAAAGAAGAACCCTCTGTTGGGAGGAGGGGTAACTGACTCATTTATACTTGTCAGCTCTTAAGTTATTCTGAGTAAGTTTGAAGGTTAAACAAAGAAGCAAGAACAAGAAAGCATAAGGATATGGTTTCTATTTGACACTTCTTTTAGGGGAATAAAATCTTGGGCAAAGAAAATGACATGTGGGGACTTCATACCCACATCAAGTGCTCTGAAGTTCAGCAAATGCTATTACTGCATTGTTTCTAACTTGCCTTTGTCATAAATGTTAAAAGAGAAGCCTTATGTGACTTAGCTGAGGCCAATTTCTCAGAAGACAGAAGCCAAAGGTAAAATGACAAAAAAAGTCAAGAAAGTTAAGAATGAAGAGAGGAAGAAAAGCACATCCTGTAGAAGTAGTAAAAGCAATAACTACTAAGATCGTGTTTCACATGGTTCTCAAGTACTGGTTTCTTCTGATTCCCTTTCCTTACTTGAACTGTAATGATATTAATACTGAAAAAAAAAAAAATCAAAAAGTAAGAAAAAGCAATATATATATCAAATTGCAGAAGATTTATAGATCCTTATCTATCCTTAGCTGGAAGGTTTACTGTGTGCTTTAATTACATTTAGGATTTTACAAACATTCATTATAATAACCTTTCTCGGAAAATAATAATTTTATTATCTTCATTGTTCTGTACTTTGGAAGCTGAAGCAGAAGGATTAAATGAAGTGTAAGTAATGTGAAGTACAAGCGTTTACCAAATCTGGCTTCAGCTGTCCAGCATTAAGTTTCCACATTGGAAAATGCCAACATCATTGAATCATCAAAAATTAGAAGTTCAGAGCTTAGTTAGAGTTCATATCAGTGTCTTTGTCCATTCCATTATGTCAGCCCTCCTGCTGCTGGGATACCCTTTCTGATGGTCTCAAGTCCTGCTGACTTGTTCCACAGTAAAAGAGCTGGCTCAGCTGAAGTAGGCTTCTTGGCAGAGAATTTGCAGCAGCTGAAGTCTAAATCAATCACAGGTTGAGTAATGGATATGGTCAGAAAAGTCGGATGAAAAGGTTCCTCATCAGCATTTACCAATTTGTCAAAATTGGAAATTTCCACAGAGGCAATTCAATTTTGAATGAGTTCCTTTGGACTGCTGCCTGACAGGCAGTTTTCAAAACTTT